TAACCTTATTATGTTTCATTAAATAAACTTTTAAAACTCAATGACTTAATGCATGAAACCTGACAGGTCCTTCGTCTTTCAGCTGCAGCATTATAACATACCTGGGCCTGTACAGTATATAGGAACATTGGTATGTTCGTCTACCGTGTATGTGTGTCCGTGTGTGTGTATGTGTGTGTGTGTGTGTATGTGTGTGTGTGTGTGTGTGTGTGTGTGTGTGTGTGTGTGTGTGTGTGTGTGTGTGTGTGTGTGTGTGTGTGTGTGCGTGCCTGCCTGTCTGTATTTCTGTGTTTAATTATTCTTTCTTGCTGCTTTTTTTATTTTGTTGTGTAGCCCTTCTCCTGTATAGTATAATATATTTTAATATAATATAATATAATATTCATAATTTTTTATTGTTATAATAAAATGATGAACACGTGATCAGTTGAAGAGAGATTGGAAAACCATCAGCATCTACCCATTCATCCTTCATTCCATCTCCATGTCTGTGTTTGCGTCTGTCCTTGGGCCATTTGGTGGGTTTTTCGCCAGCGGGTTCAAAAGGGCCTTCAAGATAAAGGTCTGTAAACAATCACGTTTGTTATTGTTATTTTGATTGCACGGTCTCTATTCATTATAGTCCTTATTTCTTTATTGTATGCGCGGTTTGGCTTGAAAAATGTTTTATTGTTCACGCTATTTTTGCTACCATTATTACATCTACTAAATGACTTTTTTTGCCTAATTTCCTAACTTTAGGACTTTGGGGACACGATTCCAGGTCACGGCGGGTTCATGGATCGCATGGACTGCCAACTCTTGATGGCTACCTTCATACACGTCTACCTGTCAAGTTTCATTAAGTTAGTTATTGGTGCTCATTCTTCATTGGGTAAGCGAGTGAAATCCAATCAAATGCACAGGATTAACCTGCAAATCTAATCTAATTAACATTATTTATTATTACTCATTCAACGATTTTGATTGGTTGTCAATTACACAGGACGGCCAGTCCACTGAAGTTAGTGCAAAACATACTTGCACTAAGGCCAGAGGAACAGTTGCAGGTCTTCACAACATTGGAGGAATCTCTGAGAAGGCGTGGCTTACTGCCTGTTTGAAATCCTTCAGCCAATCAAACTCAAGATATTCAAATTTTATGAATATTCATTTACTATCTCATGAATGTTAATGAGACGTATTGCTTATTAGTTGTCGTTACGGTGTTTGTGCACGTGTGCGTATATGTGATTGAATTCATAACGTACATAGCCGCTTGCAAACACTTGCTTCTCTTCCATTCACAGCGTTTATACTACTTAATATATATATATATATATATATATATATATATATATATATATATATATATAGTCTGTGTGCTGGTGTTATCTGTTGTGTCATTTTCGGCTTTTTTTTGATATACCATTCTCATTTTATATTTATTATTCGTTGCTCTTTGGTGTTGTTGTGGTGATAATAGCAATGATGGTGATGATGCTGATTATGACGATGACAACTCAGTAATTATTTATTATAATTAATTAATTATTTATTATAATTCTCTTACTGGATTCACATTTTTTTAAATTTTTTATGTGGAATGTTGAAATTTCAATTTTTTTGGTACGTTACACGGTTATAAGATTGATTGCTTGCTAGATCAATTGATTGGTCAATTGATGAATCTACTAGATTTAATCTGGCTGGTTGACCAATTAAATAATTTGAATGAGTAATTAATTAGATGATTGATTAGTTGATTGACTGATTAATTGATTAATTAATTAATTGATTGATTGATTAATTGATTGATTGGTGCGTTTGACTAATCGATCTCTTAATATAATTAACTTTTGGTAACAACACAACGTAGCACAATGTCTCCTAATTACTCAACAATTAATCAGTAATTAGTTAATTTTTTTCATTTTATTGTATTTATTTCTTTTTCATCCGAGATGGCAATGTTGAAATCTGCAAACTAAGAAAGAAAGGTCTATTTCTATGTGTTTGTGTGCGTATGTATATATATATAAATATATATAGGTCTATTTATATTACATTATATGTGAACCACTAGTTATGTATGGCTATGAAAATATATAAATGTATGTATATATTTATATATATATATATATATACATTTGTAATCGTACTTGATGTATATGATTCATATATGCTTTTGATTTCGTTACATTTATCGTTTATTTATAATGATAATTTTTGTGTTTTCAATTCAGTGGTTAACAGAAAGTGTAATATAATATAATTATTCGTGTGAATAATATTAGCGATGATAAAATGATGAAGATTTTTGCCCTGTTGTGTGTTTCCGTGTGTAATGGCTTTCCGAATGAATGCCAAAATTTGGAGTGTTATTTTGGCTTTTTCGTTCTCGTTTGACTTTATTCATTGTTATTTGTTGTCAAAGACAAAAGGGACGAAAATGCTTGGAAGCGAATTGGTTTTAATGCATAAGTTCACTTTTTATATGTAAAGATTTCGTATTTTCGCAGTTTTACCATGAATAAACTTTGCTTTTTGTTCACTAATTAAGCTAATTATTAATTCAAAATTATCTATAAGTATGAAATAAAATGTCCGAGTATTTTTTAAATCATATGATTTTAGTTGGAGCGTGTTTTAATACTACAAATATTTGAGGTTTGTTTGTTTCTTTTTCTTGTGCTGTTTGTTTTTTTAAATTTCTTTCAAATTTAGCTTCAAACAAAAGTCAGATTTCTGGTGTTTTAGTTATCTAGCGTAAAAATTAAAAGCATTAGAGTTTTTGAAATTTTTTATAATTTTAATCCAAATCAAAATAAATTCTTAATTTTTTAATTTTTGAAGATAAAAATCATACACTAGATCATAAAAACACAATAAGTGGACAAAAGCAATAATGAATCAGCAACAGTCTAGCAGTCAATCAACAGAAGATTTAATAAATCAATCATTCGACGAGTTTTGCTCTTCAAATACTTTCAAAAGTATCTTAGAATCCTTCTCAAAGTTATGCTCAGTCGTCGGGGTTGTAAATGAAAGTGGCAACCTTTTGTATAATTTACTAAAATTGAATGTAAAGTCGTGGAAGGCTCAAAATGTATGGAACAAGCTGGATAAGAAGATGTCTACCTGGGAGTACAAAGATGGAACGGCTTGTAACAATACAAAAGTCTGTCTTTTTTCTAATTTACTCAATTTAAATTTTAATTAATTTATTTAAAATGTATCTAATAGTTTTTATTATTTTTCAGATTTCTGATTTTATTTTATCTTTGATAATTATTATTCCTTAAAATAAAGTGTTTTTTTACATTTTTTTCTTATGTACTATGTATAAATATAAATAATTTATTAAATGTATAGAGTTTGATTTTTCACGATGATTAAGCAATAAATTAATTTCTGATGTCTTTTCAATTCTGCCTTTATTTCAAATTAGATTAACATAAAACAAACAATTTATAGATTTTTGCAACAAAATCACATAGAAAAAAACCATATAAAGCAATTAAATCTGAAAAAAAATTCTTTATCAATTATAAAATGATATATAGATGAATAAATTGTTTGGTGCTAATAATTAACAGTATCAGCTAAAACATAAAATAATAGAGACAAAACAAAACCATCAGGAAGTGTTAAAACTATAATAAAAGATAATAAAATCTTAAAAAGTAATATAAATATATTTTGAAATTGATGAAATTTGTAATTATTTCTCTTCCCCTGATGATCACAAACGTTTTGCCACAGAACATGCTGAGCTATTCATCAATGATTGCATTTATGACAGTCTTAATCTAATCTATATATATATATATATATATATATATATATATATATATATATGTGTGTGTGTGTGTGTGTGTTTTTTTTCTCATTACCTGTCCCATCCTTGATCTA